ATAAATGAAAGGAAGGGAAGCTCAAGCCAAGTAATTAAACTTTAAGAATTCATACGAAATAAAATTGTTTACTTAATATACATTTTAGATAATAAATAGAGAATGAAAGTTCTGATATTGAGTCAAGAAACTTGAACGATAGATATACCAATCAATTATATTCTTGGAGAAAGTTATACTACCCCGGATAAAAATGTAGAACCTATAATAAAATTAACCAAACCAACAAACTTACATGTTTTAAAATTACTGTTTGAAAATAAACAAAATAAATTTTCGCCTTAAACTTTAGTAGATTCATTAAGAAATTTAGCCAACCCTTCACTATTTGACCATCATTCAAAAGAAATCGTAAGATAGAGTGTACGAATTTCATCGTAAAAATATACAAGTTTTTGAAAGTGGCGCAATTATAATATTGACTTTGTATTAATTCACTTGCGTGTTACACTCATATTTTGCGTGATGGTTTCAGAAAATTCTAAATATTACACCAGGAATTACAAGTATTGTAGCACCTGGCCTGGGATTGCGATATTGCTCAATCTTATCAACGCTTACCAATTACGTCAAGTGTTAAGGTTTAAATGTCCAGTAGCTTCTTATTATATAGATTAGAAAGATTATGTTGATAATAAAACTTATTCTTTTTAATTGGTTTGGTTAAAATGTGATGAAAAGATAATTAGCAAAAAAACTTGGAGAAATGACCTTAATGGAATATCTTTGGAGTTATTCAGAAGAAGAGTGGAACATTGTTGTTGATAAAACTATGTTAGACAACTAAATTTGAGGCTTTTTAAATAACCTTGTGTATCTTTTGAAGATCCGCAGCAATATAATTATTTCCTGTTACGTCACTTTAAAAACGAAAAATTTTGTGGTTATTGTTGAAATTCTTGATGCAAGGTAAGGTATTGATATTGCAGAAGTTCAAAAAAAAAAAACTATTTGTCGGTTTTGATATAACATTAACATATGAAATTGTATCGGAAGTTAATGAATGGGTACAACCCTCAATTAACAAAAAAAATTATATCATAATGGTACGTTTTTACTGAAATTTGTGGTTAAGCTGACAAAGTTATATATTTTAATTTTAAAGCAAATATCATTCAATGAATTTTACCCGAACGTTCAAGACGATAAGTACTTTTCAAAGAAGATTTGATAGAATTAAAAGATATCATTAATTAAGTTTAATATGTATTGGTTTATTATTATTAAGATGACTGTATAAAAGAATTTGAATTTCGAAGGTTAAAAATATTTATTTTGTTTACATTCCATTGTGTTTATGTAAATATTTAGTTTTAATCATGCATGAAAGTTTATTTTAAGCTAATGCAAATTGGCAATTTTCAAAAATTTAAAAAAACTAGTCTCGTCAGTCTCGTTAATTTCAAATTCTTCACTTGACAGTTTCATATATTTACAAAATTTTTTAATTTAAAACGAACCTTAATAACCACGTTGGATATTGTGAGAGACATATTCCTTAAGACATTTTGATTGGTTAATAATAATAAAAAAAATTATATAATTAAATAACCCCGCCCAAAAAACCACCACGATTTTGCGCCCTTCATTACCTAATATGCTAAAAATAATTTGTTTACTAAACAAATGTACTTAATGTGTTAGATAAACTTAACAAATATATATGTGATCGTCAAAATAGGCAATATGAACGGAAAATAATTAATATACTACCACTTTTACAGTAAACAAATAAAATGAATGAATAAATAAAAAAAAACTGAAAAAAAACCATTTGGAAAAAAAAAAAAATAAAAAATAATTTGCCCGAATTTTGAATAGTCTTTCTAGTTTTTTTTTTTTTTTTGATTTTTTTCTTTCTTTCTATTTCTATATTACATAAACATTGTGAATTCCGGATTAATTGAGCAACATTTTTTTTTGGTTAGTGATCTGTTGTGACATGTTGTACTCATTGTATTAATTAATAAAGCCACGAGAAATTTTTAAACGAAAGTATGGGAAGAAGTTCAAGTCAGGTGAGTAATTTTTGTTTTAAATTACTATCTTAAGAAAATATAAAATAATTCACCTCTTTTATTTGGTTATTTTTTTTTTATAGACAGGAAGCTCAAACAAGAGACCGATATATGAGCCATCTGATTTCGTTGATAACACTTCAATTTTATCTAAAACGGTTTCGCTTGAATCCATAACCAATAATCAAATCCTTTTAAAGTTAGAGGAGGATGGGT